GCCATCGCCTTTTTGTATGCTAGGCATTTGAAGCCTCCCGTCGTATGATCGTTACCGTCCTCTTTTTTGCAGAGCATACACCTCGGATGCTTCGTGCAGCCTCTTGCAATATGGCCTTTCTCTCCGCATTTCCTGCACAGATCAGATCTGTCAGGGCCATTGCAGTTCCTCGCCTGGTGACCGAATCCCATGCACTTGAAGCATCGCTCCAATTGCTTGGTAACCCGAGGAGTGGCTTTCAGCGAGCACAATGACCAGCCAACCTTGACCTTGCCCGTCTCCAACAGCTTATTCGCTGCAGCTGTCGAAAGCCGTATAACCGCCGTTTGCATGCCGCCGTACGCCTTCCTCATGCGGATTGACATCGGGACATCTCCCAGATCGCAGTGCACTCTCAACGCACTTCTTAGCTCCTCTTCTGTGGTGATCTCGTCCAGGTCCCTGCACTCGACCACTGTCTCCTGGGATAGAGCTCTTACGCTCGCCCCTTCGCCAAGAGACTTTTCGACGAGCTCCTTGAAGGCTGAGCTCTTGACAGCAGGATCCTTCTTCAGCTCAAAGAGGATCTCGCCTTTCTGGGTTCGCCTGGTTTTCACCACGTTCTCTCCTAGTTGCTTCAACTCCGGATCCTCTCGTACCTTCCGGAGGAGTGCTGCATACGACGTTTTGTCCTTAGCTTCGACGATCAGAGCATCGCCCTTACTTCGCTCCCGACGAGTCCTGGGTATCACCTTCTTCTGTTCAGCTTTCTTCTTCATGTCTTTTTCCTTCCGTTTTTTCCACTTCTCCTTTGGCTTCTCGACGGTACGCCAGCCTTCCTCCTTGTTGTCTTCTTTGTCGTTCTTGACTTTTTTCAACTCCTCTTCCTCTCCTGGAGTTTCCCTTTTCCTCTTCTCCGAGCGCGGATTTCGAGGTCCCTTTGGCGTCTCCTGTATTTCAGCTGCTGCTTTCTCCTTGGCCTCGATCAGTGCCCTTTCGGCAGTTACGGACCTCGTCCTCAGCGCATCCTGTTCACGTTCGGCAGCAATAATGGCGGATTTGATGCCCGTCACCATTTCCTTTATTGCCTTGTGGACGTTGCTCTTATCCTTGATGAAGTCATGGAGTTCATTGATCCTCCTCCTGACCTCCATCAATTTGGTCTTCCCAAGCTGCAATCCTTCTTGGGGTGTGCTACTGCTGGATTTCGGTGTGAACACCTGGCTTAGCATAAGACCTAGCTCTCCTTGGTGTCCTTGCTGCTCACCTTGGGGCTTACTGCTGCTGTTGGAACTCGCTGTTGCCTCCAGGTTCAACACTGGTGATCTCTGCAATATCCCGCTCCTTGCGAACACGTTCGCTCCTCCGTTTTCAGTTTCTGGCGTCTTGCCGTCGTCCTTCATATTTTTTTGGGTTTTCTCATTTTCTTCTTTTTTGTTTTTTTCTCCGTTTTTCTCCATTCTGTTGGGTCCCCCCTCCGGGCCGCTATCTCCACTCGTTGTATGTAGTCGCCTATCGTGATCCCATGGTTATCTATGCAAGCAGGGAGGCCATGCTAGGGTTGACACGGTCCTTCATGGGGGCCGTGTTCAGAGCCAGATCGGCGTAAGTCAGGAATGTTACATCTGAGTCTACTACTCACCAATCACCAATTGGTGACGAGTTTTGAACGTATCCGGAGGCCTGCCAAGGTTTTACCGGGACGGGGGCAGCCGCACTATTAGCCCACTCGCCATTTCAAGAAGGTGTCACCCTTCTTTACTTAGGGAGCAGAATAGCACGACTGTCAGCCCTGTAGCGTGGTATCCAATCCATTGTACCGTGTCGTGTCCATAGTTCCATGCCGTATCCAGTATGCCGTAATAAGGATCTTACTGGCGTCGATCCTAATGTGCCGGTTGGCACTCCTGCGGGTTGACGAAGCATTTCCTCGATCGCCGTGTTATGGTTACCGCGCCAGTGTTCGCGTCGCACCCCCTCACTTTGCTATTGTCAGAAGGACAACATTGCCCAGGCTACACCACGGGGAGGTGTGAGGTAGGAACTTGTGAGGACCAGAGATAGGAAAAACGCTCTTCCCAGGTTGTCAATTCACCATTTGTAGCCCTGTGTGTGTGTGTGTGTGTGTGTGTGTGTGTGTGTGTGTGTGTGTGTGTGTGTGTGTGTGTGTGTGTGTGTGTGTGTGTGTGTGTGTGTGTGTGTGTGTGTGTGTGTGTGTGTGTGTTTGTGTATTATAATCGCTCTACCAAAAACGATCCCTGCGTGTGCGTGCAACCTTTCCCCACATCCAACATCCCAGTTATTTCTCGTGGAAGCGCAGAGGATTTCTCGGTTTCCTTCACAGCGAGTACCACGTCAACACATTCCTTCCCATTCCCTAGTTGACCTGCATTCGGACACGGCCGGCGCTGGTATTGCTAAAATATTAGATCTCCAGTTCTTACACATTGAGGATGAATGTTAGTCCCAAACATCATCTGTTGGTTCTCTGTGTAATGGCAGCTGATCTGGTAATAACAGAGCAGCAACCGTGGGCGGTCAATCTGATTTTTTTTTTATTGAAAGTTGTGCATTTTATAAATCCTAAAAATATTACAGAAATCATCAAAGACCTGTGGCTTACAAAACGGAATATATCGGCCTTAAAAAAATTACCTCGTTTAAAAAAAATCTCGTATGTAGCTCAGAAGTGTAAGATTTTACCTTGTATAGACATCATTGAAATATAAGAGCATACAAAATTCTGACAAATTTCCAATTTGCATGGAACTTTGTTTGTTTGTTAACAGGTATTAATTCATAGTTTTGATAAAATTCACTATTTTTTTTTTAATCGCCTGAAATGCCAATTAAAAAAAATTCAGCATGAAAACGGCACTTCTGATCGAAATGACATATGTTGCAAAGTAGTTAAGAAAAATAAAAATTTTCTGGAAAAAAAATAGCAAAACCATGTTTTAAAACCCAAATTTTTACAAAATGTCCTTGCCCGATTTCTGATAAACATTTTTTTTTTCGTCATTCGGGATAATGACTTTTCGGTAAATAGGTTACTCGGAGTAATGGTTTTCTGCGTAAGGAGCCAAGCGGATTGGTCACATGTGATTACTGGCCTCGGGCTTTAACGCGATTGAGCCTTCCAAATCAACGAACTAGATAAAAAAAAAAGGCCTCGGGCTTAGCGTATGATAATTAGAATAAACTAGTTATTCGCATGTATGAGTCTCCTTCATTGAACATTAAGACTAAAACAAATTACGCTGATTGAAATTTTTATTTCAAACGTTCTCTTCATCCGTCTTATTTTCCACAGCTTTGTTCTCGAGTCATTGGAGTTTTTCAACTGTGTTATTGCGGATCGGTGATCGCATTTTATTAGCTTTATATCCCGTGCCTGATTATATGATTTAATAAATTATTGGTGTTGCTGATGTAATGGCGCTTGGGGTGCTTCCACATTTCCCTTTGTTACCCGTTATTACCACGACCACGTTGAAATTTTTAGTAAATCCAGTAAAACAAGTGCCCCTGTTTCTATAAAATTTCACGCAATTTTAAATACAAGCTTCTGCGACTCGGGTAATTTTTTATATGAGATATCTTTCACATAACTAGCTATTTATCTTCGTGATGTGAATATATTTCCACTAAACAATTATATTACATCACTTCTACATTTTACGATTAATATTAATTCACAACTTTTTTAAATACACCGAAAATTAAACAATTGATAATATTTGACGAACATAAAAGTCTGAATGACAAAAAAGTCGGATGCTTCGAAAAATGTTGAAATTTGAAAATAATAATTACACTTTTTTATATAAGCTTTCTGAGAGCCAAAAAACATCAATTTAGTGAACCAATTCCGGTGAAATGTTGTGGTAATATTAATCAGTGTTTTGATCATTTGAAGGCATCCTTTTGTGAAAGCATATCAGCATTACAAAGACAAACTACTTTTTTAATGTGTGTCATCCAATATCACATATTCGCCAATATATCAGGAATTTTGTATTGAAATTACCTGTAACTCTGAGGAACAATGAAGTTTTGATTAATTAATAAGTCATACAAATTGCATAGCGATTGGTTATCATTCAACAGAGATGCAATGTTTTTAATGACAATAAAATTTAAGGTGGCTCTATTGTCCAGACACGCACTGCAGTGCATCGCATTGGTTTCTAATGGATTCTACTATTATAGGTTTACTACCGCATATATTTATGGGTGAAAGAGTCAAAATCTTAACAACAATTAATTGTTTCAGTATTTTTTCAGCTAGGTAATTAAAAGTTATGAATTCCTCTTATTTTAGGAGAGTTATTGATGAAAAAATGTGCCAGGTTTTCCACAATTATTCAGGCATAAGCCCCATACAACAACTATAGGTAGACCATTATTACTGGATCACCTATGGTAATATTTACGTATTAGTAGGTTATATCCCAATAACCTAACCATCACTTCTTGTTTTATGGGTGTAGTACAATAATGTTCGACATTTCGTTGAGGTGTCATTTTTATGATTTGCCAGGAGTGTAACAAATCCTCATTACAATGCTGCGTGACTCATTAATTTATACATTACACATTACATTACATTCAATATTATATTCAAAGTTTGCAAGTTTTAAAGTGGTATATTTTTACATTGTCATTAGACTTAAATATTCATTCCAGGAGTGGAGGTTAAAGCATCGAAAAAATAAAATAAAAATCAGTGGAATAAAATGGAATTAGAATGGAATCCATTTTCCCAACTTACAACTAAACAATGTAACTGAATCTACGCCTACTAGGAATTACAAATATCTATTCTTTTGTCATATTCCAAAGGAAACTGACGAGTGATTTGAATGTTTAAAAGTGGTTGTTTGGGAATTAATGTATGCATATCTCATTCCATTTCGTGTGTCATCATATCGCATGGATGCATTCTTTCCGAGGTACAATGCAACCACATATGGTTGGCGAGCATTTAACACCGTTATTTAAAGTTGACATCCACTTACTCAAATGGAGACCAACTTTCGCTTTATCCATATATGGGACCATTTTAAATGCTTTTCAGCATTATCCAGAAGTCACAAACTACAGTTCAAAATTTGAATCACCTTCCACTCTTCATTGTTCGATCACTTTTGATTTTCTCTGCTGTTGTAACATTCTTCTTCAAATTTCAACATCCGTTCACTTTAATTATCTTGCTCTAAGAACACCACATCAACTGCATCCAACTACTAAGCTCAATAGGCACGATTTCATCACATCACCATCATCGCCAACAAAACATAATTAAACATCATCCTCTTCACTTTTCGGTAGCATCCACGATAATCATGTTCACGCCTATCTATCCAATCTAAGCGACAAAACAACAGCGATGACACCAACACGAAAAGTATCCGCAATCCGGGTTCACTCTCGTGTCGCATAAAACAAAAACAAACATTCAATTTCGAGCGATTCAGTTCGCGCGGATCTAACTCGCACCCGCGCCAATCAAGTCAACCGCCAATCCACGTTAGACAACATTTGAAAACCAAATGAAGTGTGGCTCCAAGTCGCATCACGAGAAGTAGCTTCTTCCTTTCGGACTGCTCCTTAGGATTAGCTAAGCGCAAGAGATGTTCCGAGGGGTGGTTGTTTGATGATGATGATGACTACAAATGATGGAATAGGTGGGAGCTCGAGCAGTGTCTGTATTTTTGCTTAAATATATGTGAATAGGTCGAAGTTGATGAGCTTCATGAGATGTACCTTCTGGTATTTTACGAATCTTGGGACGACGACGAGACACTGTGCCGAAAGAGGTTCCTTAGGAGGCTATCTTAAAAGTTTCACTGAATGACTTACGACAGTTCCCACCCAGTGCTGCTAGTCTGCATCTGGTTATAACATATTAGCTGTTACTGTCGCGATGTCACGAAGCCCCACTAGAAATAGTGACTAAATTATGGATAACATCATGATTAGCAATCGATTATGGCGAATTGTTAGCCGTGGGTCTCCCTTCTCCGTCGGTCGCGGGAGGATCGTCACACTATGGTAAGAATGGCTCGGTTCGACTGCACCGTCAGCTTTGGAGTTTTCATTACACGACTGTAAACAAAACGGCATTCGATTCGTTCGAATTAACATAAATCATGGAGTTAGAAAAACACCATACACGGCAATCCGGGATTCCGGACATTCTTTGAAATCAATAGATGATGAAACCTGATGACACCCGGTTACCACCGGTCGACCTTGACTAATTATACCGTGGCCCGAGCGCCGGTCATTGTGTCACGGTTTTACAAAGTGTCGTATCAATTTGCCGAATGGTGTAGAACCAAGGAGTAGAAATAAACAGTAGACTTAAGGTTCACACATCCGAAGAAGCAATCTGTTTGAGCACATCGTGAGAGACATTGTCTTCGGAGACCACCACCGACCATTGGTTCGTTAGGTAGTTGAAACTAGCCGATATTGTCATTAACACATCAATGGTAAAATGTTGTGGTGACTGATGAGATAATTAGCTAGCAGTCGATAGTCAAAATCAATAAATCAGCAAGATGATATTTGAATGGTACAAACTCAAAGCGCTGTAGCAATTTATCATATGTAAAGCAACCACAGTAAATTAACACGTTGTGGCTAACATACAGCGACTAACTAATTTAAAGACATCTTATTTGGACTGAGATACGACTTTCGACGAAGTAATATGCACTACAGTGGCATTCTTCTGGAAGTGACACAGTGAAATTTATGCAAATAATTGCTAATTGAAAAGCTGACAGCATTTGATTTGACGTTTCGCACGACCCTCATGATCGCAGAAATTTTCACATTCACATTGAGACACAATTTATTTCATCGTTTGCCTTTTATTAACCAGCAATAAACTGATATAAAATATAACCGCTAATCATTCTTTGAATCTGAGAATGTCACTTCCTCATGACAGTAGTGTCATCTTCTGAGCGAGAACATTAGCGCATGCAAATTTTAACTCACACGCATGACCTAAAACTTCATCCTTGACTGGGACTCATTAGCAGCGCATACAACTCTGTACGATAAAGGAAGCTTGGTATTCAAAATCGCCTCACACGAGCTCAAATACACCTCTCAGCTAAGAAAAACAAAACTTTGAACGAATCAAAACCTCGTTTGATGTACTGTAGCTATGTATTGCAGAGACCAAAGAGTCAAGGTTTACATAAAAACAAAACAAGCGCGAAGAAGCGCACGCGACGTACGAGAGGTTAACTCGCTTTTGCCAACACTAACGCCCGCCTGCGAACCGTTTGATGCAGCAATCAATACCCCTTAATTTGATGATTCCGATTGTTTACTGATCAAACAAACAAGCTATTATCATCAGTTCCGAGTGCGGTGAGTGCAGAGGCAAAAAACAAAGTGTTCATTAACAAATTATAGAGCATTTTGGATGATCTTTCGGTATTATGAACATGTTGATTTTTTTTCCGAAGAACTTATTATGTGAGGTGGTATTTCAGTCGTACATAAAAGCTTAGAGCATTAACTCGGTGCAGGTTAAAGCTGCATTACGGCCACTCCTTATCGTATAATTAATTCAAACTTATCAAGGTAACAAAATTCGCAGACAATTACTGCTATTTCAGCAACGATCATTACACAATGTAGAAGCATCTCCCCAACATCTCAGCGAAGTGCGGAGTCACCTATAATGTCACGATGGCGGCGTGACACTTGGCGTAGATTTATACCTACATACGAAAAACGGATAATTTCATAACCACAATATGGCAGTCGGATGCAGTCTACTGACAACTTAAGATACCCCGGCTCATTCAACCATAAACATACTTTGCTTGGAATGGGGTAAATCTTCTTCACCAGGCGATGCGACAAGAGCTTAGCACATAGGCTTGAAGTACGCGACTGTTGCGGTTCAACACTTTACAACACCGAGTGCCGTGGCAGGTCAATCGCGGTTGACCTTTCTCCGTAACAACTTAACTATGTCACCACGTGACTTTCTTTCGAGTACCTATCTTCTTGTAGGTGCGATCAGGCAGTCACGATCTCACGCGGTGTTTGTTAGAATTGTTTGGAAGGTTACAAACAAGTTTGATTGATTGATTAGACCTGCACTATTGACTGTTTTCAAATGGACAATCAGTGGTTATGCGGGATCAGAGATGTCCCATACTCGAATTAGTCATTGTTATTTAATATGATACATTAGGAGGGGGAAAATTTACGAAATGCATGCTCGAGAAATAACAAAACATCGACAGTAGTTTAGACCCAGTAGAGCCCCAAACTGGAATTTTGTATAACGGGTGTTCAATAAAAAATGAAATTTTTTTTCAGTCATATAGCTTTTAAAAAAAAAAAATTTCAACAAATTCAGTATTTTTATTAAAAACATAAAGTTTATTCTTCAAAAAACGTCAATGAATATTGGAGAAGGGGAACTGGTCAGTCGTACGACGCAACTTAGTCGCGATGCTCTCACAAGAGCGCTGGACGGCACTGAAATCATTCTAATTTTTTATTGAACACCCTCGCTAAATCCAAATATGCACTAAGATTTCGTTTGACACATAGTTTAAGAAAAAATAATTTACATACAAAATATGTTCAAATTCGTGAATTCACTGATTTTATTTCAAGCTGATCTATTATTTAGAATAAGAACATTTTGTACCATTATATCAACAACACAATTTAAATTTAATCCTTAAGCATAAGTTTTGTAAGCTGTTGTTGATACAGGATAAAGAAGTTGACCTCTCACTGCTGATCATGCATTAGAAAGAAGCTTTATTCATTGCCTGCCAGTGGTGGATCAATCTTTTGGGCCTTTTTCATTACTTTTTATTATGGAAAGGTAACGTAACATCCAGTTGAATTTTCATTTTACCCATCGTAAATGCTATTAAACTCCACACGTTAAAACCACATTCAGTGTTTTCACTGGAGGTGCACTCGAGGGGGCTCGCAAGTGTACCTTCAGTGCATAAATTTTGAATTTTGATAGGGAGATCAGTAACAAAATGCTATCTATTTTAAGATGGGTTAACTGAACATTCAATTGAATTTAATGTAAACATTCAATTGGATTTAAAAAGTAATGAACACAGCAAAAAATTAATGTTGATATCACATCAAAGTGCATGCACTTCAATCGTATCAAAAATATGGTGAAATATTACTTGCCAAAGGAAAAAATAATAATTAATACAGTGCATAAACTTACATTACGCTGCTTTTACTGCATTTGTTTATTTGTGTGGCCATAAAAATTGAGATTTTCAACATGATTGAACTGCATCCTCTTGGATGTAAAATATTAAAATTAATTTTTTACTGTGAAAAGTCCCAAAAAAGTTATTCCTCCCTGATGCCTGCAGAGCGGGTGTCACTAAGGATAATTTCTCTACTGTTCGTATTTAAATTTTAAACTCAAATCTAAAAAGCATAAATCATGCTGTTGGATTACCTGAACCGCGGATAGCTCTGGAGAGGGAATGGCGATGATTCACTCTTACATCGTCTTCGGCGACTCGATGGTACGTGCAGCAAGCGATCGGTTAGTTCGAAGGCACTGATAATGACGGCAGGACAGTTTGGCACCTTCCTTTATTGGGCTAATTACAATAACAATCCATTTTTTGATGGAAACACTAACTACACAGCACTACATTTATTCTTCTTAACACTAACAAACATTGGCTTAATTCTAACACAAATGACCGGTCTTGGTGACCGTCTTCGACCTATGACTAGTTGTTCGTAACTAAAAATCTATCCCTCTGTCAGCAATAAAAAAAACTAAACCCATATCCGAAGTCTAGTGGTGAATTTCTGTCACACGATTGACCCGGGCGAATCTCTCTCTGCATCATCTCCATCTCCCATCGATGACGTCAAAGGAAGCTGCTGTTGTATCGGTCTGGATGCTGCTCAATCGATGTGTGTAACAATACCCAACTTTTTGGAGGCGAACCAGCCCAAGGCTGAAAGCCTCCTTAATAAAGTTAAATAATAATAATACAATACCCAACTTCAAAACAATCTGCCTGGCTGGTCGATAGCCAGTACAATAGCCAACAGATGTACCTCAGTAGCAGCTACCGGCTAAATTAGGGTGTCTAGGGTGGTCCTCACAGACATTCTCACCCACCCAGAAATATCCGTTTCTGCAAATAAAAGAAATTCCTCTTCGATAGAATGGGACAGGGATAGAATAAAGTTAAGTGTTGATCGAATCTACGACTGGCAATAAACAAATCTTCTCGATAGGCCGCTTCAGTTCACCAGACGCTGTTTTGATGGTGACGACTCGAACAACTCCATCGCTACCCGGGTGTAAATCCATGATCCGACCCATACGCCAACGCATCGGTGGTAGATTATTATCCTGGATTATGACTAAATTTCCTTCTTTTACTTGAACTGGTGGACACCAGCGTTTTGCCCTGCCCTGCAGTTGGCAAAGATACTCCCTCTTCCATCTATTCCAGAAGTGCTGCAACTGCTGCTGGACAACTTGCCAATGTTTTAGGCGGTTCGTCGGTATCAAACGTAAATCTTCCTCAGGGAACGACTGCAAAGATGCTCCGACTAGGAAGTGCGCTGGAGTAAGCGGTTCTAGATCGTCTGGATCGTCAGACATCTGAGTCAAAGGCCTTGAATTTAGGCAACCTTCTATCTGGATTAGCAACGTATGCATATCTTCCAGTGTAATTGGGCTGTCCCCAATGACCCGAAGGACGTGGTGCTTGGCTGATCGCACTGCAGCTTCCCACAATCCTCCAAAGTGGGGTGCGCTTGGAGGGTTGAAATGCCAGTTGATTCCTTCGTCTGAACAGAATCTCGCTACCTGCTGTCGATGACCATCAGTTTTCAGCAAACGAAGCAGCTCCTGCAACTGATTCCTGGCTCCAACGAAGTTCGTACCGTTATCTGAGTACAGATCAGTGCACCTTCCTCGGCGTGCGATGAATCGTCGGAGAGCCTGCATGAATCTGTCCGTGGACAAATCAGACACCAATTCGATATGCACAGCCTTCGTGCACATGCATACAAAAATTGCAACGTATGCCTTCACGGCAGTACGGCGTGGTCCTGGTCTAATATACACCGGACCAAAGAAATCCACTCCGGTTTTCGAAAATGGACGAGAGACCGTGACTCTTGATGCCGGCAACTCTCCCATAAACTGCTGCACCAGCTGAGGTTTTGACCTGAAGCACCTTAAGCACTGCTGCACAACCTTTCTGGCAACGTTTCTTCCTCCCAACGGCCAATAACGTTGACGAATCGTTCCCAATAACAATTGCGGACCAGCATGTAGCAAACGAAGATGATACTGCTTGAAAATCATCATCGTGCAACGGTGACGTGCTGGCATGATCATTGGATGCTTGGTGTCGTCAGATTCTTCCGAATACTTCAAACGCCCACCAACTCTCAAGAGTCCGTCCTTGCATATAAACGGACTATTCCAGCGTAATGGTGACCTCCTAGGAACAGGATCATTTTTCCTGACCGCTCTCAGTTCATCAGGAAATACTTCTTCTTGGACCCTTCTTACTAGCGTGAATTCCGCTTGACGTAGTTCCTCTGAAGTGAGGAATCCACTCGAACGCTCTTCCCTTGGAATCCGCAGTAGACGCATTAGGCGCTGCCATATTGCTATGCGTCGGATCAATACCGTGTAGGAGTTTGACTTGGAGACAAACCATTCGTTGAATTCTTCAGCAGCTGTTGTCGTACATACAGCTACTGTACGCCTTCTTTCTTCTTCATATTCGTCCTCAGGCCATTAAAAATGTGGTTTAAAGAGAATGGAAATTTTCTCAAGAGCACATTATAAATGCACGTCAGGATAATTAGTAATTTGTTATCTCGAATGTTTACCAAAGTCTCAGACTACACACTTTGAAAAATTCATGTAAATTTAGGTGCTCTGAAAGTGACATATACGAGCGTCAATTTTGACATAAATTTGAGTCACAACAGACGTGAAATAAAGCTCAATCAAACGTACTTTTCGTCGAGCAACGAACATTTCAGTCTCGGTACAGAGTCCTGAATAGGAACATAATTTTATAGTAAATCCAAAAGCATTCTGGAGTAGCGGCGCCGGTGGTGTAGTAGTAAGCGTAAATGCCTCTCACACCAAAAGGCCTGGGTTCAATCCCAGTCAGTGCTATTGAGTATTTCTGAGGCATAAAATCTTTGATCACGGAAGGGAAGTAAAGCCGTTGGTCCTAAGTCATTGGTCGTTGGTCGAGAGTTGATGGCTCGATAGGTAGGGTCCAGGTATGGCAGCTGCCTCCCTGGCATCGACAGCATTGGTACTCAGTACGGAAAACAACATCTCGAGAATATCTCTAGAAGATTTTAATAAGCTCGAAAGTTACAAATGTAAGCTATGGCTTCAAACGTAAATTTTCTGAAATTTCCAACTCGCCCATGCAAACTAGCACTACCATCAGAAAGGTGAAAACTTCCTCTACCTAGTGGTGAAGATAATTTGTTACTTTACGAAAAATTTCTCGAACTCTTAATTCAAACGTCAAAATTTCTAAACTTTTTTCATATTCCGTGATTTATTTTTTTTACATTCTTGGAACTTAAAAAATCAAGTGTTTCAGGCTTTCGATACATGATACATGAAAAAAAAATATCAGAATCCTTAAGATCTTGAGTACACGGGAACAAATCTAATCTCCGACATGAGAAAAATGATTCATGAGTTCATGAACATAGCGTGTGTTCATGTTATGAATAATATTTATTTATTTAACCACCATCTTTGACATTTTAGCCATACAGACTGTTTAAAGTGACTTAATGCTATTCTTAAAAACTGGTCTTCTTATATTAAAATCAAAAACATCACACGTAACATTAAACAGTCTGCAACATCTTTCGAGAGGATTGTTATAACCGTAAGCAGTACGATGTCCAGGAGTCCACAGAAAGTAATAGTTGCGGAGACGGCGAGCTGGAGTGTGGAAATTGATGTTCCCGAGCAAACAACTGCAGTAAATATGATTACTAATCATGTCAAATATGAACATCCTCTTGAGAAAGACTAGGCGATTTGTTAGTGTTTGCAGTCCAATAAGCGCACATCTATGCTCGTACGGAGGCAAGCTATCTGGATTTGTCCATGGCAGACGTCGTAATGCAAACTTTATAAACTGTTTCTGGATTCTCTCGATGTGCAGTACATGAACAGCATGATATGGATCCCAAATTTGTACTCCATATTCAAGAACACTGCGGACCATAGAGCAGTACAGCGCTTTCAGGGCGTACACGTCGTCGAATTGTGCAGTATTGCGGCGCAAAAATCCTAGCATGGAGTTGGCCTTTGCAACTGTCATGGATATGTGCTCGTTAAACCGTAGTTTGCTGTTCAAGATGAGCCCAAGATCCTTAATGACATTAACCCTTTCCAGCGGCGATTGATTCATAGAGTAATCAAAAATGATCGGAGAGTGAGAGCGGATAAGGGTAATCACTTTGCATTTGGCAGCATTGGCTTGCATTCCATTCATCTGACACCAGGATGACAATCGCTCTATATCAGCTTGAAGTGCGCAACAATCCACGATCGATTTGATCACACGGTACAGCTTAAGATCATCCGAATATAGCAACTTACAGGAACTTAGCATATCACACACGTCGTTAATAAACAGAACGAAAATGAGAGGTCCTAGGTGACTCCCTTGTGGAACCCCCGATGGTATATGGAATACCTCTGGAACGTACCTTAACGAAAGCCTTCCTGGATGATAAGTATGATTTTAACCAACAAACGATCCACGGTGGAAGACCAAGGTGGTTTAGCTTCATAATGGCTAGGTCGTGAGGGACTTTGTGAAATGCCTTAGAGAAGTCGTTGTAAACGGAGTCCACTTGCTGACGCTTCTCGATGCCACCTATAAGAGTGTTTGTGTAAGTCATCAAGCTCATGAATCCATGCTGAAACTCTAAGATTATGGGTTGAACAGCTGGATACAACTTCTCATGTAGAAGACTTTCTAGAACTTTGGCCAAGCAGTTCAGGATCGAGATAGGTCGTTAATTTTCCACTTTGTGCATGTTACCGGACTTGAAGATTGGTGTAATTGAGGTGAACTTCCAGGCATCCGGAATAACGCCATCCTTAAGCGATCGATTAAAAATAGACATAACGGGAGTGGCCAACGATGCTGCACAGTTCTTGGCGAAAGACGGTGGAATACGGTGGAATACGGTCCGGGCCTGGACCTTTCGATGGATCGACTGAGCAAAGGGCTTTGAGAATAGCGTCTTGACTGAAGATGAGCTATTCTTGATATCATGAGCTATTTATGCGTAACGCAACCAATATTCTCAAAATCATGAATAGAAATCATGAACTGAATTCATGAATTTAGCTTTTACCTAAAAAAGATTTCAAAAACAATAAAATAAAACTTCGGGATGGACTCGAACCAAGAACCTCGGGATCATTAAACCCATACTTTGAACACTAGGCTATAAGTACTTGTATATAACGGAAGGCAAAAGGTTACATATGTAGTGCGTTTTATGAGCACGGTTTGTCAGGTACGTGTTCCTCTGCATCATGAAATCATTAATTTACATGAGATGGAAAAGAGGATCAATTTCGTAATTTTCTAAGGATGAAGCAAACCCTAACTACGATGGTGAAATTCTGTTAAACGGATATCCACTCTATTATTTATTTTCCGTTCAATTCTGTTCCGCAAATGAATACCAATCACTGACGATTTACTTCCCTTTCGAAGAAACCCAGACCCACTGGTTTGAAAAACACTTAACGCCTACCACGCAACCACTGGCACCGTCAAATTCCCGTATATAGTAGGGCGACAGACACATTTTCGGAATCCAGAGGCCACCATCTTCTAAAGTGGCTTCGGAAATAGATTTCCTACCGCCGCTCCATAAATATTTTTGAAGTATTTTCATTCAAAATCAAGAATCCAATTTCTGTTCCTTTGGGCTTTTATGCCACAACTGGATTCAATTGCATCGTTAAATTTTCCAATCCAATGAAGTTCTATGCCGAACCGGAATTCAAACCCTACCACCTGTGCCTGTGCCTTTGCTGACTAGAAAATTCAAATGTATCTATATTGTGGTGCGTAAAATGTCTCACACTTTTCCCACTAACATACCTTCTGATTACTTTCCACCTGCAAAACAATTAGCTTATTAGTCAAAATTACCCCACCGAACCCATCAGCTACATATGAGACATTAAGTTAAAAGAGATTTTTCTTTCAATTCCAGATTCCGCTTCTGGCAGTGGGGCAAGTGGGTGGAGGTCCGAGTCGACGATCGTCTACCGACACGGGGAGATCGACCAGCTCACATGCACTGTGCCCAACCGGACGTCTTCTGGGCTGCACTGCTGGAGAAAGCTTATGCCAAGTTGAATCACCTAATATTGTTTGCCAAATTCCAACTGACCATCTCCATTTACTCTAGATTATACGGAGGATATGCCTTCCTCAAATTCGGGACAGTGGGACGTGCCTTACAGGACCTTACCGGAGCCGTCGTTCAGAGTGTCCCTCCGAGCGGACCACTGCTTGGGGGAGCTGTGCCAAGATCAACATTATTAGTAGCAATTAGTGGAGTGGTAGACATCCTTGCCGAAACAAATAATATATCATTTTCGAACATATGTCGATAATAGTACACCTCATTTCAGGAAAAGGAAACCAAACGACGGCGATCTGGTTTGATATCGGAGCATCCCTATTGCGTTACGGGTCTGGCCAGGGTACGTGCCAATTCATCTGATTCATCCCAAGCCAGTGGTCAGTCAGGTGACACCAGTCTGATACGTCTGCGAAGTCCGTGGATCGGTGGCGAGTGGGGAGGAGTCTGGTGTGGTGCCTGGTCTGAGCGCAGCTGGGAGTGGAATGCCCTCAATGAACGGGATCGGGAGCTGCTGTCATCGAGATCGTCGAGTGATTGCGAGTTTTGGATGTCTGTCAGTGAGTTTCTGTCGAGATTCGTCGTGATTTGGTTGGCACACATTGGACCAGATGATTGGGCGTTGGAACCAGGCCTACATACACGTACTCCATGGCGGGCAGCTCTGGCGGTACGACAGTGGCGAGCTGGATTCAATGCCGGGGGTCCACATAAGTTTATCGAAACGACAGCAACGAATCCACAGTTTAGAATACGGGTACCGACAGGGCATCCAGCGAAAGCTCACGTTGTTGTAGCAGTGTCTCAGAAGTACGAGTGTTACAGAAGCCGAAACTTCGAAGATGAGGAGATCGGTTTCACAATTTACGAGGTCCCACCGGGTATGCAACGGGTCACACCGCAATATGTTAGCGAGCAGATGCCACTGGATTTTGCACCACTGTCGAATTTGAGGGAAATTGCTACGTTCTTTGCGCTTCCGGCTGGGGATTTCGTAGTCATGCCTCATTCCCAACAACACAGGGAAGGTCGATTTCTACTGAGGATCTTTGCTGATCAACATACGGACGTGTGGGAAGTCAACGAGGAAAATCTAGTTATTCATAACATTGCAGCGGAGTTTTGTGACGAACGAACGATTGATGCTGTAAGTACTTCTAAAAATCTAAAATATCTCTTATTAATAATAGAAAACTTGTTGAACATTGCAGAGAATCCTCTACAAGCTCCGCTCGAGGTATCCGCATGAGATAGAGTCAACCCAGTTGCAAGGCATCCTTAAAGCCCATGGTGGAAACAACCGAGGATTCCGTGGATTGGGAGGAATCAACTGTGGCCCGTCGTTGGAACTTTGCCGAGGAATGCTTGCCCTACGTGATCCCGCTCTGGGTGGTCGACTTTCGATAGATCATGTTCCAGCTCTGATAGGATTGATGCGATTCTGGAAGGCCGCCTTCCGACGATGCGGACCATCGTCTTCCGGTACAGCCACGCTTAGCCGGGGCATCTGGGCTTCGAAAGTTTCATCGTACTGCCTTCGGGGTCTTTTGTGGGCCGGAGGAGCCACCGCTAGCAATAAGGTCCTGGAAGCTTTAGTCAGTAGGTTTTCACGGAATCGGCAAATCACACTCGAGGGGTACTTGCTGTCGATGGCAAGACTACATTTAGCACATGGTTGGTAGATCTTGGTTTAGTTTGTATTATTATTACTTAAATCGGCTATTTTCAGAACGATACCACAGCCTGGATGCCAAAGCAAAAGCTAGCCCATTATCTTTAGAGGAGGTTCGTTCAGCGTCGATTCAGGCCTTGCGGTAATAATCAGCCACTCTATTTCAGATGATCCTGATGACCATCTACTCGTGACGAGGCAGACGAACCTTAAAGAGAACCAAAGACCACTAAATGACGACGGCGACTACTGTTAGCAAACTGCGGCACCTAGCTGGCTGGAGAGCAATGCAATACTTATTCTATTTAGGACTTTTACTACTTTTAGGAAATTCTTTTAAAATAAAACTCTTCAACTCTGATTATCGATTCTAGTGATATTTACTAAACCGGTGAGATAAATTATAAATTGAAACACGATTCTGAAACGAGTAACGTAAAACGAAAAGTATTATGGAATGCAAAATTTTCTATGAGAGTAAACTTTAATTTATCATTGTTAGGAGTATGATGCAAAGAAAGAAGGTTAACACATATTTTTATAGCAAGGATATATCTCTAGGAAAGAAAGTTGTTATTACTGAAATAAACGTTATTTACTAATTTAATCATAACTGTGTTGGTATTACTGAGTGTATGAATCACCTTATGAAAAACGTATCTAGAATGAGTTGTGTTTTACATATTTTACCTAGTAGTACCAATGTTGGTCTCTAAAGAAGACGAGCTGGGTTTGGAAAGGTACATCAGATAGATAGGATGTATTCGTTTTGCATTTACGGTTTATTGTTTTATGAATTTCTCGATAATCCCAATGTCCAATACAAATTGTTTTTCTTTCATAAATATATACAAAATCAGACACTTTTTTAACATGTATTAGCACTATGGCTGATGGGCTCCTATACATCATACATTTGGATTTTCTTGCATACAGTCTTAAGAGTTCATGTAAAATAACCCAACCACAATGTGTGGATGCTAGAAGTTAATGGCGAGTGCTTTACCGAAGAGTAAAATTAATCTAACAATAATGTATATAGAAACCAAGACTGCATATTCAAATCGGAGTTGCTGGTCATTTTAATAGCATTCGGGCTCATAGTCAGAATAGATGGTGTTTAGTGGTGGAATGGTAAAAGTACAACTGATTTTGACTTCTGATGCTTAAAAAATGCTACCGGCTCTGCCCCGATTCAACCCGTTAGAAATACAACTTGATCACCAATACTCTTAAATTCTTTCGAACCGTTCGAACAAAACACAAAAACGAAAACAAGAATATGGGTGAATAAAAACAGAACTGACAAAACATCGTAAAAATCAAATCGAAACAAAAAATCTTCAGTCGTAAAAATATCGCGTGCCTAAAACTACGTCCTATCATAAATGTTGGTTGTATTTATCTATCGAGTCTCTGAGCTACTATTCAGTAGATGAGAAATTTCCTGAACAGCTGATCCGAAGTCTAGTACACCTTCTCTTTTCTGGTTAGCAGGAAACTTCCAATCTTCAGAGTCATTTCTTCCATCATTTACATCCCTTCTAAATCTATGTGTTGTGCCAAAGACATTACGGTCGAAATACTGCGGTCCAAAATCATATCTAAATAAAGGCCCTGAGTCATAATCAACTGGAAGTTCCTCAATTCTAAACGCATTTGATTTTGTTTTCTCAACGAGGGCCCCACTTTTCCCTCGTTCAAGATCTTCCTTGATCAAATCGGCTGCCTTCTCTCCGATGACGAAACTCACTGCCGCTGTATGGGCTGCCGGAGGTCCTGGAACAATGCCAATGTCTACCACCCGCAACCGTGAAATTCCATAGACACGCAACCGTGGATCAACTACGGCTTCGGAGTCCGTGGCAGGACCCATCTTGCACGTTGCAACCTAAAATTTATCGAACTATTATTACCCAGAAAACACTCATTAAAAGCATTCCAATCAAGCCAAACTGGTTTTCTGCTTGCAATGTCAATGATTTATGATAGAAAATTTCCATCACACTTTTGACAAGGAAGTAATTATGGGAACAAAATCGCTAATCAACGGTTTACGAATTAATCAGCATTCTTTGATCGGACCAGTTCTGTCGGTCAAAACAAGTTCAACCAACTCATAAAGCGCGCACAGTTCAGTACCCGGCACTGCAATGTCACTCAGCGCAATTATGCAAGTCACCGTGCCGTTCTCAAGCTTGATCAAACTCTAGCTCTTACCTGATGATGAAAGGTGGCAGTTAGCGTGCGCACATGGCAGCGCCAGTAGTCGCGCGTGTTGAATTCATACTGTTCGCAACCCGGCACCGGACGTGAGTAAAGCTCAACGCCCAGATCACGGAACGCTTGTTGCGAAGTTACGCGAATTGCTTCCATCATACCGTAAACGAGGGCCTCTAGGTCACGATCATCCTCAAAGTATTGATAATCAAATCGAGGGTGGGCGAAGGGATTCCTTGAACGAAGACGCAATTTTCCACGTGTTCGTGGTTTCAACAGCATCGGAAGGTACTGGAAGGATCGAATGTTGCGAATCGGTCGATAGTATCCATCGTAGGTTTCATTGGTGAGGCGGAATGCTAGGAAAGTTCCGGGACCAGAATCGAAATCAACCGATGTGAACGCTTGCATAATTTCAACGTCGGGAAGACCAGGATCCGGACTTTCCGCTACCGGAGTTTTAATGTACATGAGGCTTTCGACAGCGTTGGTCGTGAACACTCCACGACCGTTGATCAATCGGATTAAATTTTTGACGTTTATGTTGTCATCTAGTTGAACGTAACTATCGATGGGTTTTCGGACCAAATATACAGGGCCAAGTACTCCTGGATGCTCGTACAGTTGTTCACCAACCGGTAAGTCATTTATGACTGGTATTCCAAGACTTTGAAGATGATCAGTAGGACCAACTCCTGACAGCATCAGAAGCTTAGCCGATTCAAAGGCCCCCGCCGAAAGAATCACTTCTCGATTGGCTTTAACTGTAAACTGCTTTTTATTGCGAGCAAATCGGACACCCGTAGTCTCCTTGGTATCTGTAAATGGAAAAAGATGTCGCTCAAGGACCAACAAGGCATAATTGTAAAACAATGACCTGCGTCAATCAGCAGTCTCGTGACCCATGCTTTGGTGAGAATGTGCAGATTTTTACGGTTGGCGACAGATGGCGGCAGATATGCCGTTCCGCTTGTCACTCGCCAGCCTCGATCCGTATTGGCTTGCAGATAGGACACTCCTATATGCTCCCCGGCATTGTAATCCAAGTAGCGATAACCGGCCTGCTGAGCGCTACGAACAAAGGCATGGGCGATTCTCGATCTGCAAATTTGAAAAATTATCAACATCTTTTAATTTTATTAAATATGTCTCTCGCAGCAGGCGATAACGCAATGACATGACAACAATATTAAGCTGCCCTCTTAAGGTCAGACCCAGACGTTGACGCCTCGCTTCAAGACCCACATTACCCAGTGGACAATATTGAGCCGCGTGCGAGAGTAAATAGAAATAAATTTCATCGTTATTGAACCGGTTCCAAGTTTGGAGGTAAGGTGCTACACCACTCTGGGGGAACTTATATTACGTTGCATTTTACGATACATTTCTTTAACGCAGCATCTCTGTGATGCAACACAGAAGCTGCCTGTGAAGAAAGGGTAGTTTGCGGTAATTTAATTACCCTTCATCGATATCGCTGAAGTGTCCCGATGAGAATTGATTAATGGGCCCTTGTAAAATGAAGATTAATAATAAAGTGATGATGACGGTGATATGCAAGACAACTAAGGGAATCATTCGCAAATTATGTTCGGTGATAGGAGGGAGTTATTTGCAGTTATTTGCAATGGAGGACATTTTTAAATGAAATTAATTTGATCATTAATCATTTTTGTGCCAATGAACTGAACATTACAAATTATTCAACGTTATACGCAATGATCCAATCGAACTGTGAAAATACACCGCTTTGCTCGATTGGAACAACTTTTTTAAGTTTTATGTTGACAGTCCTCCATAATTTTACTAAAGGGCTTTAGTGCAAAGAACACTATGTTGAGAGTCAAAGCCAAGTCGAGAGAGCAATAGGGTAGTTGTTCCGAGCAAAGTCTGAGATCAAATTGAAAACTAAATGATATAGTTGAAGATGCTAATTTCAAAAAACAGACTAAATTGGTAATTTTTAAACGACAGATGAGGAGATGACTAGACTCCTCATCTATCGTATAAAAATTACCATTTTAGTCTGTTGTTTGAAATTAGCATCTTCAACTATGTAAATTGTTGACTTCACGCAGAAGTAATACAAAACAAATAATTGAAGTACTAAATGATATGTTATAATGTCGCTGATAATCATTACTCAGGTTGCTGTCAGTTTGATGGTAAAAATATGAAAATTGAGAACAAACTTTTTTTTGTTAAGTAACATTGAAAACCAATTCTGCTATCAGTGAGAGAAAACTGAAAATTCAATTTGATGTATATTTCTCCTGGTGATAACAAAACGAGCATTCAATTTGATGTTCTGCAAAGGCAAAGAAAACAGCAAATGTACAGCAATATGAAACAATATTTGTTAGGAAATTTGTGAATGGCACAATTTGATTTCAGTTTGCAATGAATTTGATGCTGTACTTTGCTCGGAGTACCAGCCATGGCAGGCAAATCTCAAGTGACCGAGCAATTGCATTAACCCTTTCCGAGTTAAACCAATTTATTTAAGATCAAAACTACCCTTTTTCCAAATTTTAATATACCCCAATTATGATTTTTGCATATCTCCGGATCCAATAAAGATACAAACGACACTGGGTACCTTTTCGAAGCATTTTGAACAAACAACAAAATTCTGTGATCGAATTTGTTTTACAGTTTTGCCAACCCTGCGATTTTTTTTATACCTTTTAATACACATATTTCCAAATTGGCCCCAGTTTTTTTTTTAAATTTTGATGGCGCCAAAGTGTTCAGCCGATTTTTTTTTTACATGGGAATGATTTACGGGAAAAAAATATAAGTTTCGTTTAGGTGATATTGTATTTTAAAGATTACAAGTTTCTTAATTGATCCATTACACCAAACACTTCGATATATATTGTTGGTATACACTCATAATCAGGTTTTCGTTCGAACCGTTCGAACCATACAAAAACAAAATGTGTGCATGGTTCGAACGATTCGAACGAAAACAAGTATAGGGATGATACTTTTGAAAATCGTTCAAAACGAGCAAATCTGTGAGTATGCTGAAGACCTAACCCTTCTTGCTTTAAGATCAGTTAACTTCTGTGATCTGATTATTTTCTACAATGTTGCCATCTTGAGATTTTTTCAATGTCGTGACCGTGGGAGGCATATGAATTGGAGCTGTAACATGATCGAACATGCGTTATCCTTGAGGAGTCGAAGTTTTGTGCACTGTTACTTCCTTCAAACCTTCTATGGAGCTTCGACAGGGGACGAAGAATAAAAAATACTTTTTCGGTGCTAAATGTCGCACACCATTTCGATGATTAAAATTATGATTTAAATAGTCGAATAAGAGTTAAATATTCTTTATAATGATATACTCATATAAGTTTCATTTTATGCCCGTGGTCACTCAAAGAGGGTGATAAGACGCAGGGGGGTTAAATAATAAAAAAAAAAACAAGGGACGATAAACAACTCAAGGCCTTCACAATTTTGTTTGCATTTTTATTTTAGAAATTTATTATTAATTTTGAATAGGGCTGAATTTAATTTGAGCCCTTCCATATTCTTTAATTAAAAATAAAATAAAATTAGAATCAGCCTAATAATATTTTAACAGCAAATGTTGAATGTAAATTTTAAAGCATTTCTAATTGAGCCAAGCCTTTTTTTCCTTGATTTGCTTTCCGTCGATCTTGTTTTCCGTGCTGAGCACCAACGCTACCAATGCCAGGGAGGCAGCTCCCACACCTGGACCCTACCTATCGAGCCATCAACTCATAAACCGGGGACCAACGGCTTTACCTCCCATCCGAAGGAAGGCGTGATCAGAGATGTTATGCCTCAGAACATCCCGGCGGCACCGACTGGGATTGAACCCAGACCTGCTGGGGTGAGAGGCAATCACGCTTACCACTACACCACCGGCACCGCTGAGCCAAGCCTTATAGCAAAATAAATTAATTTCATATTCATATATCATTTTTTCTCAGATTTGCGTGAAACATTTCATATTTTTTATTGATAATTATTCACAAAATATCAAATTTCATATTCTTCAACAAATTACAACTCGAAAACTTCATCCAATCCAAATAATGTCTGAGACAAAAATCTAGGAAAAAATATGTCCACTTAATTTACCATGACAAACAATTATGCAAAGATTCACACAAATTTGAGAAAGTCACGTCAGATCGTCATTTGGTGTGGAACTGCTATACGGTATTATGTTGCTGCAACTACCTGAAACGATTGAGAAACCATTGGAATGAGCGTTTCTGCACCTTTCAGTCATGTAGGTTCACAGTTGCATTAAGTACGTCACGTGAAATTAAGGATAAATCATCCACCCTTCCCCTGCTTCGTCACCTTTTTCCTATACCTAATGTAATGCTGCTCACAGATCTGTGAACCCGACGCACTTTATGGATGCTCTCTTATGAGGATAATCCTTTAGCAGGGGTGAATTGTAATACATCTACCTTACACAGCAAAAAAAATGTAATATCGATCAATGTAATTCAAGCTGATGTATGAAATAATGATGTAATAGCAAAAAGCAGATACAATATAACATCAATGGATGTAATTTTGTTCGCAAAATCAATCTACATCGTATAACGTTATATTACACAACCGATGGATTGACCTGGTTGCAGCAGTTTGGATGTAATATTCAACAACTTTTTTTTTTCTGTGTACTAATACTACTAAAGCAAATCCACGTCAAATAACGAAAGAATAAACGAATTTCAGATTTATCGGTCAGAACCAGAGCGTAAAATTATTGACTGAGTGTGAAAGCACTGTCTCTTTTCAATTCATTGGTTTATCCAGACCGTATGTACCAAACGGTAAAGGACGAGGCAATGCAAGAGCAAGAACAAAAACATTCAGTCACTCACGAACAGGCGACTCACACTGCTTGCCTTTACTCACACAGCATGTAATTGAGGCATTTTTCCATAGAAAATGTACGCTCAGTCCTTCAAAACAAGGATGGGGTACCATCACGGAAGAATAAACATCCTAACTGAGCTACTGACTGGATGCTCTACTGTCAGTGACTCGTTTACTTCCCAATCATTCAGACTCTCTCGAGGCAGTTGATAAAGAAGCGAATAGCTGTTCATATTCATATTATGAAAACGACTAATTGAACCTGAATGTTTTGCGCATTGTTCAAACTACATGGAATTTTGTGTAATTGTTCGCTTTGGGCAACGTTTCAAATTTGAGTTTAGGTTCAGAAAATTTAACACGCGCCTATTTTAAAAAAAATGGGGTGTTCAATTTTTTTTCAGTAAATCATAGCACAAAAATAGAACGTCTAATCGAAGTGACGTCTGAGACAAAGTTGTAGAAAAATAATTTTTTGTTCAGGAAAAAAAAAATTGCACACTGTAATAATATGACAAATCATGGTGAAAAATGAAAAAAAGATTTTACTTATTAATAAAAAATGCCACAATTCTAACTTTAAAATAGACAAAACTCGTAGAACATCAACTTTTAGTAAATTATTTGAATTTAATTTTTTCTCTCTACATTTTGTGATATTTTTCACAGTGTGTTTTTTTAAATTCTGAAACGGATATCCAATTTCCTTTAACTTAGTCCCATATGAGTCATTCCAGCTCAAGTGGGTACAGAATTTTAAAAAGTTGTGGTCGATGTCACCGGTTTGAGCCAAACTTTACCAAAACGCTTATTTTGGCATTCTGAACAAACCTCTTTTTTATTTTGCTCTAAAGTACCTAGATCCTTCTGGGCTACAACCCTGTATTTTCGAGATTTTTAAAAATTTCAACTTTCAGAAGAGATTACTCCACAACCAAATAAGCTATTCGTAATCTTAGAACGTCAATTTGAAGGTTTTGTAATGTTAATTATTATAAATGTACAAACATTTTGTTTTTGTTATAGTAACTACAGTAAACAGACTGATTACCAGCAGGTATCCAAATTGTCCAAAAATGGCATATTTTCCCCTTGGGCGGGATTTTTTTTTATTTCTTAATATTTTGGGCTCAAATTTTCACCACACCTTCAAAAACTCTTGTGCTTGATGTGTTTCTAAGGGTAAATGATTTGGTTAAATAATTTTTGATATACGACCAGATGAGTGAGTGGTAGTTTTGAGCTTTTTTGGTGTAAAATCAATACCATTTTTTTTTTCTTGAATTCCTTCACGCCGATGGCACAATCATATTTTTATGTTATTTTTTACATGTTATGGGTACGATTCTCAATATATAAAATCATAACTACCTCATTTATTTACTTCTGTCCATAATTCAATTGTGGTCCTAAAAGTGAAAAATACGTTCCTATTGGATACAGCCAAAAAGTTGTGCTTTAAAAGTACGATGAAATCAGATAGATTAGCAAATGTATAAAATTTCAGTTGTGGATGACAGTTGCTACTTGAATAATACCGAATACATTATATCAAGAAGACTGGCAGCTTTTCCAGAATCCAAGCGACAAATACAATAGCGCTGAGCTTGAGTGAAGGTGGAAGTAACGCATAGCACGTTTTTGGCTGTATCCCATAGGAACGTATTTTCACTTTTAGAATCATAATTAAATTATGGACAGAAGTAAATATATGAGGTAGTAATGATCTCTTATAATGATAATCCAGCCCAGAAAATATGAAAAATAACATAACAATATTATTGTGCCATTAGCATGAAGAAATTCAAGAAAAAATAAAAATATATTAAAAAGCATTGATTTTTCTCCAGAAAATCTCATAACTACCTCTCACTCATCTGGTCATATATCAAAAACTATTTGTTCAAATAATTTGCCCTTGGAAACACATCAAGTACAAGAGTTTTCCAAAATGTAGTGAAAATTTGAGCCCAAAATATTAAGAAATAAAAAATCCCGCCCATGGTGAAAATATGCCATTTTTTTACAATTTCAATACCTGCTGGTAATCAGCCTGTTTACTGTAGTTACTATAACAAAAACAAAATTTGGGTACACCTATAAGAATTAAGATTAAAAAATCTTCAAGTTGACGTTCTAAGATCACGAATAGCTTATTTGGTTGTGTAGTAATCTCTTCCGAAAGTTGAAATTTTTAAAATTTTCGGAAATACAGGGTTGTAGCCTAGAAGGATCTAGGCACTTTAGAGCAAAATAAAAAAAAAAGGCGTTTGTTCAGAATGCCAAAATAAGAGTTTTGGCCAAGTTTGGCTCAAACTGGTGAAATCGACCACAGGTGGTGTACCCCATTGAGCTGGAATGACCCATATGTCATTTCGATTAGAAGAGCTATTTTGATGATATTATTTATTGAAAAATATTGAATATACTATTTTGAAAAAATCGGCGTGAGTCATTGAAAAATATTGAATATACCATTTTGACAAATTTGGCGCGGCCAAATTCCTGCACAAATTTGATATGTTTCTCCTAGCGAACAATTATGCAAAGTTTTATGGAATTTGGAGAGGGCAAAGTTTGATCAATTCGTCAGTTGGCGTGGATTTGCTATTTGCTATCTACTATAAAAAAAAAGTTAAATATTTCCACCACCTCCTCCCACTGCTCTTTTGAAGCATATTGGGATTCCCAAAAATTGTACTAAATTTGAATGAATCTGGTTATGATTTGGATATGCGGGAGAATTTTAAATTTTGTATGGAAAACATAATTAAACTAACCATTTGCTTGCCAAATATCCAAATGGAGCTCAATTTTGACAGAACAACAATTGGTGATTAATTACTGACACCTATCGAGTGAATTTCAAACATGTCGAACCCATCAGCCAGGGCCAGGATTAACAACTTTTTTCCCTTCCGAAGGGAGACGACCTCGGCTGGGATTGAACTCAGATACACAGGGGATGAGAAAACAGTCACGCTATCCACCGGTGCCGTCAAAGTGGATACTCCTAGCACACAATTTAACTTTAGACAAGTTCTAGAAAATATTGGCACGGCTTCAGCATAAGTAGGTGAGGCATATAATTTTAAAGCCACCTGGAGTCATTTCAAGATATGTACCACCATCTTTAGTGCCTACCGCTTCACTTCAGTCAAATGCATAGATGGAATTTTCCAACAAACACTCACATTACTGTCTCAAAGAGATAGCCGCCTCGCAAAAACATTTCGTAATTCCCAAGCTCAGTACTTTAGTAGCTAGCTTCAATTTCTCAACTCTTATTTATAAACTGGTTGCTGCAAAAAATTTACCAGCAGAACACGTTTCACGCTCCTCGGTCCTCGGTGGAATCATGACCATTGGAAGGTCTGGTAGAAATTTAGAATCACTTTTGCACAAATGCTGTCATAGATGCTGTCATAGATGCTGTCATAGATGTTATTTTTACTTAATGGTTGACTGACTTTTGTTTCTATTAAAAGTTGGAAAAAACTGTTGCCAGTAAATTACTTTGCATTGCACACGAGCAATTCATTTTTGATATCTTACCTAAATGGGCAATCTTCCACCGACAAGGGGCCGTCCTTTCCGTGGAAACCGTTATTGTCGAAATCTCTTATATTTGCACGCTCCGCTTTGATATGGTATGGCAGCATTTCATCCCAGCTCCAGCCTGGATTACCCGCCTGTGCCCATCCATCGTAGTCCCTCCGATTGCCTCTGGTATATATCATGTAATTTATTATCGAAGATCCACCCACACCCCGTCCATGCGGCCAACTACACTTCTTATCACGCAATCCCTGACATCCAAAGCTTTGCACTTCACTTTCGTACGCAAAATTATAATCCGTTGATTGCAGATTTGGTGATGCCAGTGGAATGTCGGTAAAAATGGGCAGTTCCCCTTTGCCTCCTTCCAGCAGCAGCACCGTCACTTTGGGATCTTCAGTCAGCCGATTGGCAAGCACCGATCCAGCCGGCCCAGCACCAACAATCACAAAGTCATAACTCTTCCGCAGTTTCGGCTCACCATACCAAATACCCCAGAAGCGTGTGAAATCTACATAATTCCCGATCGTTAGATTATCACTTTTGCCGGTTGCGTAGCTCCCCGCACACGATACCAGAACGACCGCGATTGTTGCAATCGTCCACTTTGAATACGCCATATTTTTGGCAACGTACGTTCGACTTCACGATTAAGAATTCCTCACGTTTTTGCGCCTCAATCTGCGTCAGACATCCTTTCTCGGCCTGGTTGAGCCAGGTTTTTGGTGCACACTGTCCGGTACGGTCAACGTTCGTGATTAAACTGCACTTGCTTTCAGCATCATATAGTGCAAGTTTGCACACCGTGTCGCACTTGCCTGCACATGGAAGAAAGAGTTGCCCAGCCTTGTAAGTTGTTTTAGTAAATGATCGTTCAGAATTGGTGGGCAAGTCACCGAGGGTGCCGTGCTGCAAAATGTTTGCCGAAGGCTGTATCCAAGTGATCGAAAAGTGGCGGGAAAATTAGTCGTTTATTCAGTACTGATCGATACTGTGCCGATCTGGTGAAAGAATTGCAGCAGTGGTAGGGTAAACCAGTAGTTGAAGTCAGACGATGAATGTTGACTTTCTGTTGATCCGCAGCATTCAAAAAGCTCTTATTTAAACTTAAAACAGTTTCCAGGACGTGGCTGTCTGTATGGGTCAATCATCTTCGTACGTTGGCAGAAACGTGGCAAAGATGGGGTAAACAACAGACCAGTAATTAATTAATTATATAAATAAACTTATCATGACGTAGATCATCATTGTATTGACTATAATTAATCATGTTTTGTTTTTGAAATAATCCACAGTTAGAGGGCCAGTCACTTTCGAATTTATGGGAATGGTAGGAAAATATTTGGAATATTTTTATTCATTATCGTCTTTATGAGCAGTTTCAGATGCACAAAAACGTAACGAGTTAATTACTATGGTGATAAGGTAAATACTTGTTAATTTGTTTCCTTGTGTGGCAGCATGTTTAGTCACAAATCATGGATTTTCTGATATTCTCCATACTGCAAAAAGGATTTTCCTACCAATGAAGGGGTGACATCTCTCGGATCTTAATCTTAATTCTAGACGAATCATTCAAAAGGTCCTTTCTCATTCTCTTAATTGACTCTCTCTTTCGTTAATAACTCAGCTGCAAAAACATTCCTTATTGAATTTAATGTTCTGGAAGATTGATGAGAATTTCCTTTATCAAATTATGTTGTAAAAATTACGTGGAATCTGTTTGTATAGCCATGGTTATCATAAGAGTAAGTCGATTAAGAGAATTGATCAAAGCAGATAGTACCTTTTGAAATGTTCATCACGAATTGCGTTGCATAATGTACAAAAACCATTGATTGCCACATTGTTTTGTCATTTCAAAAATACAAGTCTTTTAGAAGAAGGTGTATTCAGTAATATAAATTTGAATTATGATTAGGACTGAAGACCACTTTATCGGCGGCAAGATTCGATATAGGGCACTGCAGTCAGTAGCTATGTTATTGTTATTCTTTACACATATACAACACAAGAAGATCTGTGAGAGCGAGTAAGAATGTTAGATACCTCCTTCGTCGCTAGAAGTCACAATTCTACCGGTCATTCAAGGTCCATTGAACTATGCGGAAATATATTTTTAATCTAAACTCAGTTTTGAGATATATCTACACACCAAATATCAAAACCCAACCTTAGCTGAGTTGAGAAAAATTCAAATGAAGGGTCTAGTTGTATTTAAAGGGTATGCTTTTTAGGCACATCTGTTCGGTGATTTTATGCAAATTACCTCTGATTTCATTCCAGCCGATGCTAGTGTGATTTATTCAAGCATAAAATGCTAATCAATTCCTCCACACCTCATAGTAGACATCACTGACACGGAACAACCAAACTATGTTTAATGTGATTTACTTCCACATCGTCACGCGATAAATTCCCGTAGCTGAAGTGATAAACTGCTTCTTTATTTAGGAAAGCATCAATCGGTTCTTTTTGTATCTAGAAAGGGTGTTGGCTTTATTCAACATCACATTAAAGGAACTCTTTTTTTTGTAAAAGAAATATATCTTACTTGATATGATTATGCTGTTTCAATTTAGTACACTGGATTCATTTTTTATGCTTTTGATGCGCCCGCTTAAAACATGAGTTTGCATGAAATAGCGGTATTGTTTTGAATAAAAAAAAATTAAGGCGCTCATCAAATTCTGAATAAATAAATCTAAAAGGACCTTTTAAGAACTGAAACGTTTCAAGTACAAAGGTAAAAAATGATTGAATTAAACACAAACAGGGGAGATGGCAGCAGTGCACGTAGCCTATCATTCGCTTTCCCGCTCAAGGATGTAAATAAAATATCATACAGCGTGGTCTGGCAATGTAAATGTTTTATCTACGACATTCTTATACACATGCATATATGACGTCACATTTGCTATTGTATTGAAAAGTGAAAGAATAAAAGAGATGGTAAGATTTTGCTCAACATACCAGTTGATATTAATGATGAATTGACTGTTTTGGTACGGTAACTCATGCTACTATCGAATTTTACCAATACTTTTAGTAAGCGATGATTTAGGAATACAAGGTCGGCGCAACAAGTGGTAAGCGTAACTACTTTCTCACATCAATGTGTCTGGGTTCGATCCCAGCCAAGATCGGAAGGGAAGGGAAATATAGCCGTTGGTCCCAGCCCATGTGTGTTGAATGGGTGCGATATCCTATGCAGGTGTGGAAGCTGCCTTTCGGCACATTAAATTGCCGTCAATGGATGGTAATCGATGTCCGTCATTGATTGGCACTAGATTGCGGAACAGAGACCGACGTTAAATAAAAGAAAGAAGAAATAAAGGAATTCAAGAAGAAGAAGAAGAAGAAGAAGAAGAAGAAGAAGAAGAAGAAGAAGAAGAAGAAGCAGAAGAAGAAGAAGCAAATCGAGTGATGTTTGGTTGCCTCTTAATATGTGATGAGATCGTTTGATATAATGTATTGTTATTCAGTACTAAAGGGTGATACGGTCAAAATTTGGTCAAGGGAAAACGCGTGTAAATCGGTGAAATCGTTTATTTAAAAAATCAAATTAAATTTCTTTTTCAAGTTCAATTAGTATAAAATTCAGGAAAAATATTCAGTTAGGCTTCCGCTTTTCCAAATCCGAATTGCCGGGTCTTACGCTTGACCCCTGCCATCAGATTTTGTACAGCCACCTTGTCCACCTTCTTCGCCGCAGAAAGCCAGTTTGCCTTGAACTGCTGCTCGCCCTTAGCAGTTTTTTTGGTCTTCTTTAGGTTCCGCTTGACAATAGCCCAGTATTTCTCAATTGGGCGGAGCTCTGGCGTGTTGGGAGGGTTCTTGTCCTTGGGAACCACCTGCACGTTGTTGGCGGCGTACCACTCCATGGCCTTTTTACCGTAATGGCAAGATGCCAAATCCGGCCAAAACAGTACGGAACAACCGTGTTTCTTCAGGAAAGGCAGCAGACGTTTATTCAAACACTCTTTCACGTAAATTTCTTGGTTGACAGTCCCGGAAGCTATGAAAATGCTGCTTTTCAAGCCACAGGTACAGATGGCTTGCCAAACCAGATATTTCTTTGCCAACTTTGACAGTTTCATGTGCTTGAAAACATCTGCTACCTTTCCCCTTCCTTTTGCCGTATAAAACTCCTGTCCCGGAAGCTGCTTGTAGTCGGTTTTGACGTAGGTTTCGTCGTCCATTACCACGCAGTCAAACTTCGTCAGCATCGTCGTGTACAGCCTCCGGGATCGCGCTTTGGCCGTCGTATTTTGTTTATCATCGCGATTTGGAGTCACTACCTTCTTGTAAGTCGATAGTCCGGCTCGTTTTTTGGCTCGATGCACGGTTGTAGACGATACACCCAGCTTATTTGCGGCATCTCGGAGAGAGAGGTTAGGGTTTCGCTTGAAACTACCGGCAACTCTCTTTGTCGTCTCAGCGGCTTCCGGTTTTCGATTTCCCCCCGATTCAGACTTCCTGGCTGTCGACAAACGTTCCCCAAACACTTTAATTACATTTGTAACGGTTGATTTGGCAACTTTTAGCGATTTTGCCAACTTTGCGTGCGAGTAGCTTGGATTTTCGCGATGCGCGAGCAAAATTTTGATACGCTGCTCTTCTTGCTTGGACGGCATTTTGACAACTGAAGAGTGAATTCCAAAATCAAAATAGGAGCAACATTCTACACACACACACCTTCAAAATGAGGGGTGTTCAGGTTTTTTAAATGCAAAATTGAAAGAAATACGTCAAGTTGATATTGACCAAATTTTGACCGTATCACCCTTTATTCACGGTCTTTTAAAGCTTGGAAAGCTAATTATGTAACCCTACCAACTCAGTAATGCAAAGGGGCCTTCCAACAATCTACTTCTCAGAAAACAAAGCGATCACCACTAGGCCATCAACTCCTTGCAGCACATTACGGCCACCTCAGCGACATATGGCTGCTCAAATGGAAAAATCCCTGGGACGATTCAATTATGATTTCCTGCCGCGACTAAGCATACGTTATATTTAACCAAGGACACATCTTTTTCCACTATATAAAAACAATCGCTACTAAGCCACAGAGCTTCTAACATCGACAAACAATGATGTTCAGTGACATGAAGCTATTGCATTTGAATCGATTTGTTTAATTATGCGGTCGTGATCGGAGTCAGATGGGGAAACTCCCTTTTATTTGATGGAGTCTGGGATTGAACCCATGATCTTCTTATGAGCAAGGAAATATGCATGAATGAAGTAGTATTTTAGAGGGAAAGGGCAAAATTCTGCAAAGGTTTTGATCGGCCACGTATTAGGTACAGCAAAATACGCTACGAGGGTGAAACTTACGTCTTTAATAGATTATCCCAGTGTAATATGTACTAGATAGAAGCAGCTGTGTTTTTCGGTGTGGGTCATGCGATAGCAACTATTGTTGCGGTGCTTGTTCATTGTCATGCGCCTTTGTCGTTGCCGATGCTAGCAAACAACTGGAGTTGTCCGTGGTAGTAACCATGGGTGAAATTGACAATTTTGTGAAAGTGATGAACGCGGATCCTGTTCAAATGATTGCTACATATTGGATTGCGAAGGAGAAGTCAGACGGCAAATCAGACGAAGCGGTGCTTCATGCCTTGTTGCATAACCATGAACAATTTATTATTGTGCTGATGAAAAGGCAGTCAAGGTATGCATGTTACCTGCGGGGTCAACGTTCAATATGGGAGAGTATATGATCTTGCGCCAGAAGTCCCGGAT